GATCCTTGAATGTGACCTCATGTGACCTTGAATCTGAAGATTCTCTCTGTTTTGACAGTTTGGTATGATAATTTGCAGCCAGAACCTCCTGCAGCTCAGCCTCTGACTTGTCAAACCTGTAAATCAGACATAAATGCACCACAGTGACGCCGACTGAACCGGTTCTGGAAACTGAGATTCAACAGAAGTGCAGCAGAACAATGCTGCAGGCGTGTCTGTGGAGAACGACGCCCAGACTGTCCTCTGCAAGACGTTCTGTTTATGGGCTCTGCTTTGTCGTGCAGTTTGTTCATTTGTAGTTGTTCTTTGCACTGAATGGGATTGCACCTCATTTCTACTTTTTGTGGTATAATGACATTCAGAGGATTCTGATTCTGTTTTTTAATGGAAACTTTACGATGAGAAACAAAATATAATCCAAAGACGAAGCATCAGAAAACTGAACGCCCCCAAAGACGTTCAAAACAACGACAAACACACAAAACGACCACAAAGAGACACAACGTGACCACCCGGCGCTGAGGAGAGGCTCCTGAACGCAGCGCGCTCAGACAGGAGCTGCTGTTTGTTCAGGTGTCAGAGTCTCAGTGAAGCTTCTCTTAATGTTTCACAGACGAACTCGGCGGTCACAGAGTTCACTGTTTCTGTGAACTGACCCTTAACTGCAGTTGACGTCCTGAAGGGGCCACCGGACTCAGGACCCCCCAACAACACCCACAGCTGGGCAGGAGCTTAGCTTAGCACAGACACTGAAACCAGCTAGGTTAGCTTAGCATAGGGACTGCAAACAGCTACGTTAGCTAAGCATAAAGATAGCAAGCAGCTAGGTTAGTTTAGCACAGAAACTGCAACCAGCTGGTTAGTGTAGCATAGGGACTGCAAACAGCTGGGTTAGCTTAGTATAAAGACTGCAACCAGCCAGGTTAGCTTAGCACAAAGACTGCAACTATTTAGGTTAGCCTAGCATAAAGATTTGAAACAGCTAGGATAGCTTATTATAAAAACTGCAAACAGCTAGGTCAGCTTAGCACAAAGACTACAACCAGTTAGGTTGGCGTAGCACAAAGACTGCAACCAGCTAGGTTAGCTTAGCATGAAGACTGCAAACAGCTTGGTTAGTTTAGCACAGAGACTGCAACCATTTAGGTTAGCCTAGCATAAAGATTTGAAACAGCTAGGATAACTTGGCATAAAGACTGGAAATAGCTCGGTTTGCTTAGCACAAGGACTAGAAACAGAGGGATACAGCTAGCTTAGCTTTGTCGTAGCTCAGGGAATCCAGGTACGAACAATTCTAAAGATCACTGAACATAAGACACAAAAAGACTGCAGAGAGATTAAAAAAAACACTGAGCTCATCGTCTCACGTTCTGCTTGTACTGTTTTCAGTCTTTATGCTAAGCTAACTAGCTTCTTACTGTGTTTTATATTGAACTCAGGTGCATCTTTAACCACAATCTGATCCTAGTCTTGGATCCGGTTTCAGCTTTTGGAAACAACCTGCAGGTTTCTGAGCGGAACCAGTTAAAACTCCAACACAGGGCCCCGATCCTCCCAGTGAAACCAGTACTTCAGACTCCCATTAAGAGGCTGAAACCAGTGGACGAAGGATTACTTTGACGAGCTTAAAGCCCAACATGTAATCCTCTGACAGGGAGTACTTTTACTCTAGTAGTTGTGTACTTTGACTGCAGTCCAGGAGTTGTTTACATCAGCTGGGTGGAGTGTGTGTGTGCGTGTGTGTGTGTGCGTGTGTGTGTGTGCGTGTGTGTGTGTGCGTGTGTGTGCGTGTGTGTGTGTGTGTGTGTGTTGACAGAAGCAGTTGCTCGTCTCGTCTTCACGTCAGAAAAACAAACTGCTGCATGAAAACAAACAGACTAAGTTTAGACTGTTGGAGCCGCAGCAGGTAGATGGAGTTCTTCTAGATGTAGTTGTAGCTCACTGGCTATGTAGCTGTAGTTACTTTAGTTACTGTAGGTATATTAGTTACTTTAGTTACTGTAGTTACTGTAGGTATATTAGTTACTTTAGTTACAGTAGTTACTGTAGGTATA